GATGATGATGATGATGATGATGATGATGATGATGATGATGATGATGATGATGACAACGACAACGACAACGACGTCCTGCTTAGAGATGATTTGATGTAAAGTGTTGTAGCAGTCTGATGTCTCTACTTGTATTGTGATAGTGCTGTCGTCCATTTTCTCAGTTACTTGCCTCCGTCCGGTTGCCCTCTTTACCCGCGCCGACTGACACCAACCCGATCTCCGCCGAGGAATCCGAAATCGCCCAAAAGCACCAAGCACCGCGGCTCGCGCCGGAGGTCAGTATCTCGATCACCTTCTAAAACCAAAAGGCGTCAGTCCCCGTCTCCTGCCAAAGTCGTCAACAACACCGATGACATCGAGGAACTTCCTTCTCGTATCGTGGAGCAGCACGGCGTGCCGTGGCAGAACCCACCAGAGCCAGTCGCTGACTCGCCGCCAAAACACGACGAGAAGCCTGTAAAAGCATCCACGGACAGCTTTGAGATTAACGAGGCTGCAACTATCCCTAAGTCTACGACTCCCTTGGAAGTTAAGGAAGAAGCTACAACGGTCGAGGAGAAACGCAAGAGGTCTCCCCAGCCGTACTTCAGGCGACGTAGCGGCTCCCCCTCTTCACGCCTGCGAGGAAAGAAGCCCCCCTCCCCTCTCAGTGAACCCAAGCTGAACACATCCACACCGCCCAAGGCTACACCCGACAAGGCGCCAAAGAAATCTGACGGAGCTGCCAGTGAACGTTTTAGTCGCGTGAGTCCGCCTAACGTGCGAGAGAGGTCATGGTCCAGGAAGGCGACCACGCCCGTCAGGTATGTTTCCACCAGCATTCCCCAAGGTAATTCCTGGCTTGGATTCAACGAGAGCGCCAACAATGTGACTGAGGTAGGGCCAGTCTCTGTCTCGCCGCCCACTGCCAAAACCTCAGATTCAAATTATTCTGCCCAGGTGAGTATTGAGTTCCCTTCAGGTTCTAATACAATTTAAATCTATTGAAGAGAGGGGTTTTTAGGGTTTTGTTTTGTTTGTTCGTTGTTGTTGGAGGGTTTTTTTCAATCAAAGTTCTGTCGATTTTAATGAGTTATCCTTGTGATCGAGTTTCACTTTTAGATTGGGACAGCTAGCCGTGGTAAGATAATAATTGTCCAAATCCCCTTTCTTGTCTTGTTTTTCTAAAGAACAAAACAGAATGTCCAAAATCTATCTCTTTTGACAAGAGCGTAGTAATACCTTTACTAGAACATCTCAAAATAAGTAATGCTCAATATCTCATAACCTGCAAAAGTGGACTGGACTTAGTTTTGAGGGGGGAAATATTTATCTTATAATCTGCTTTAAACGCTTAAATCCTTTTCCGTTTTGGTTTAATATCTATACCTATAGTTGCATGTACAACAATCATGAAAGACAAATGCAATTTTTGGAACACTTGAATAAACATAAAGGCCTGGAACATGTAGTTCTCACTGGCAAAATTGGAGGCAAGCGAGGCAGGGGTAGGCCCAGAGCAACCTACTTAGAGAACCTAAACAGAGGAGTGACGAGGAAAGATCAGGGTATCTTTTTTACGAGCATCAACTTGATGCAAACTATCAAGAATCAAGGCAAACAAATGAATGGAGAACCATGATCACCGATGTCGGTCGCAGAAGGCACTAATTGATGATGATGAAAGTAAAGAGTCGAGTTGCCCGCCGATGATGCAAGAAGGTCTATGTGCACATGGCAACGCGTCTCAAGGCTGTCGTTTTAAAGCTCACAAACAATTAATGACACCGTTGTTTCGTTGTTTGTGGTGTTACTGCAAAGGGGGGGGGGGGTTGCAATCGCACGATGAAGACGTGAGTTAGATTCCCAAGTGGGGAGGTTTTCTTTGGGGGTTTTTTCTTAAGTTTGTTTTGTTTGGGTTTTTTAATTTCTTTTTTTTTTTTTACATATCGAGTATCTCAGATCTGACTTGACCCTGATAGACAGCATCGAAGCAGTCGACACCCTAAACCACCTAAATTGTGTATGTTTATGTATCTACTTATCTATTGATTGATTTATTTGAAGGGGGGGGGTGGGAGGACTGCAACTAACAGAGATCAAAATTACAGTGAAACAGACATGGCATAGACAAAATTTTACTGATTTGCAAAAACATTGTAAAATTATGTATCTTATATTTATATAATCTATAACCATGATGCATGCAGTATAAAGCAGTTCACATAAGATAAACATTTCATCTATTGATCTATACAAAAACAAACACCATCCCGATTGGTGCTAGTATATTATTACTAACGTCTGGCTTAGGCGATAGTTTTGTCCTGTATAGCTTATTAATTCGACTGAATTTACTAGACATAAGACCATCTTAGATTTAACATTTCACGGACGGGGGAATGGGCGGACGGTGAAAGGGACAGAGAGGGGGGGGCGTGAAGGAGAAGAGGGAAAGGGGAAAAAGAAAAAAGACATGGTTGGTAAAGGGAATTGGGGTGGGGGGGGGTGAAAGTAAAAGGGGAGGGGTGAAATAGAAGAGGGTCAAAAAGGTAGAGGGGGTAGGGGAATGGGGCACCGTACATAGTAGTTACTGGTATTCCTTTAACATAATATTATGACCTTGACATCCGATGATTCAGAGTTCAAGGCCGAGCGTGGGGTCGTCCAGCTTGAGTCGCGAGCGGCAGGAGACGGAGAGGAGAGAGGACCCCAAGTCCTGGGGGGACCTGCTGGAGAGTGCTCTGTGAGGACATTCGTTTGTTTGTCTGTCTATCTGTCAGTCTGTCAGTCTGACTGGCTGGCTTTCTGTCTGTTTGACTGGCTGGTTGTCTGTCTGTCTATCTGTTTGCTTGTATTAAGACATAAAGATAGATAGAAAAACAGACAGATTTACAGTACAGCCGGAACAAGAAAGACGATAATATAATACGCAGTTGCACAGGGTGAGGATGAGAGAGAGATATAC